ATTGGATTTTTTCGTTTGTTTGTTTTTAACGCTTCTCTCATAACATCAACAATCCATTAATTATTATTTGCTTGTTCATTTGGCTATATTTTCTTTTCTGTTGCTTTCTTTTGTTTAACACTGATCATGTTCCACCCTGTTTTTCATCCCCCCTGTCTGCAATCAACTCCTTCATCCCCATAAGGCTGGGCACAGAGTAAGTGTACTCCTCGTGGCTGTCTAACGCCGGTGGTGCGGGCTGGTTGATGTTCCGTGGGGATGTCACGTGGGTCCTGTGACTCGGGGGCTGCCGTTCCCACCACCCCTGAGACTGCACCTAAACTCCCCGTTAAAGCCTGAAGTTGTAACGTTCTTCACCACTATTTAATGTTACCTTTGATTATTAAACACACGCCGCTGCTTTTAACTTTGTGCTGTTGTAGCTTGCCGAGCTTTTTTCTAATTAATGGGAGCTCAGACGTGATTTGGGTGAAAACGGGGCCGTCGCTGAGTGCGCACGCTCCGCTGCCCGCAGCGTGGTACCGCAGCACGTTACCTCCGTGGCTGCTGCCGCACGCCTGAGTCCCTCGCGCGTCAGTAAGGGAATCCATCCATTGCTGCTTTACTGGCCGACACCACCTGTTGTAAACTCGCTGGTTTTTACCTGCATTCGAGTGTGTCGTCTCCTGAGTGATGATAGTGAGGGTAGTTTTCACTGGGAACTCTTGAGGGACCATCAAAAATGTCTCTTTGGGTTTTTTTCCCTCTTCTGGGTTAATTTTAAATTGGTAGCTCGTTGATTAATAAACTCCTGTATTGCTTTACCGATACTTTCAACCATCTGTTCTCCAAAAATGCATAGCTTTGCTGATGGCACCGAGGCATTCTTAAACTAGAAAAACCACCAAACCAAAGAAAAAAGCCCACCCAAGTTCCCTCTGCCTTTTCTGATAACTGTTGGCACGAGGACAGCTCCATAGCCTAAACATTTAAAAAGCAAAGATTAAAAAAGGTAATTTCTTTGCATAGTTACATATTTCTGGGCTGTGTCTTCTGCAAGCACGTTTGGTGGGCGCCGTCTTCGGAACCGTCTTCCTAATGAAGCGTTGTGGGCGGAAGCTCAACTGTCTCTTTAATACAGAGCTATTTCTCAAGTTCACAGGGATGACTGTCCCCAGATCAAGTGTTTTTACAGTGTCGCGGCGTAACACCCCAGTGCTTTATAGAGCTTGTCGTGCCCTTTTTTGCATAATTAATTCATTGCTGTGTTGCTGGCGTTAATGATTTCCTTCTTCATGGATTGAAAGCCGGTGGTAGTAAACCGTGGTCTGTCTCCACCGGAACCTTCACTTTGCAGCCCCCGTTACATCTGTACTCTGACACCTGCTGCACTGGAACTGTGGGTGCACAGACCCGGTGGCAGAACACGGTGGGCAGTAGCCCGGCTGGTCTTCTCTGCCCTGCCCCGACACTTTGGTTTGGTTTTTACTTTTGAACTGTTAAGTCTTCCTCTGTCGTTCAGCAGTTCCTGCGATACGGACCCTGAACAAGCTTCCCATTCTGGTCAGCTATTAACACGCTGCAAATTTGCTTTGCCTTTTGTTTTCGGATAAGGAAGAAAACAGCAGTTAAAGTAGAAAGAAACTTGGATGAAGAGTTTTGAAGGGAATTGGCCACAGTTTAGCCAGGTCGGGGCTTGAGAACATGTGCTAGAGATGTCTTTTTTTATTAGTTTTGATGTTTAAGGGGAAAAAAACGTGGGATAGTTTATGGTAGTTCCAAACTTGTGTAAAATACATCAAGTAGTAAGACATTTCTGTTGTAGTGGCATTCAGCAACGATACAAAAACGTTCTGTAGACTGTTGGTGTTGGTAAGGCCCCCTGGATAATGTTCTGCACTAGTAAGGGCCCTTGTTTCCCCTCAAAATAGCAGTATTCCATCACCATTTCATTCTTATTTTAGTAGCTCTTGCATCAAAATGCTAAGTTCAAAACTGAAGAAAATATTGCATGCTTCCTGTCTGCCAAGGATTCCTGTCTTAATAAGTGTCTGTAACCATCTTTCTTTCCTGTCACGACACCTGGTAAGTTGGTGTTAGTGTTAGGCGATCTTCACATTCCACATCGGTGCAACAGCCTCCCGGCCAAATTCAAAAAGCTGCTGGTCCCAGGAAAGATCCAACACATCCTCTGCACGGGAAACCTCTGCACCAAGGACACGTACGACTACCTCAAGACGCTGGCTGGCGACGTTCATGTTGTCAGAGGGGACTTCGATGAGGTAGCGTCCTCGCGATGATGACGGGTTTTTGTGCATCTCTTGCGTAAAGGCAGCGTGCGGGTTATTTGTCGTTCAGGTAGAAGTGGGCAGACAGAGGGTTTGTAGTACTTGGAGCACGTGAAAAGAAACGTGGGTGGAGGAGTTAGCCTAACGGTCAGTGATGCTAATCGCTGGGCGAGTTCTTCTCTGTCAGCAGTGTGAACAGAAGTAACTAGCCTACGTGGCGCTGCCGGACTCCAGCAAACGGGACCTGGCCTTGTCAGATCTTTGGGGTGCCGTGCGTCCCACGCCCCCTTCTCCAGGGGGTTCATAAAAGCACCTTGGTAGCTCTCATTTCGTAGCAGTAGGGCCAGTTACACTGAGTATTTCCATAAGCTTTCCCCCTCCCTTCTTGGTGTTGCGGAGAGGTTTTTAAATAGAAATCTATACATCTGATGTGTGGTGTTGGTTGTTTCGTTTTAGAACCTGAATTATCCTGAACAGAAAGTTGTAACTGTTGGACAGTTCAAAATCGGGCTGATTCATGGCCATCAGGTTATTCCGTGGGGTGACATGGCCAGCCTGGCGCTGCTACAAAGGCAGTTCGATGTGGACATCCTCATTTCGGGACATACACACAAATTTGAGGCATTTGAACATGAAAACAAGTTCTATATCAATCCAGGATCAGCTACAGGAGCCTATCATGCCTTAGAGAAGTAAGTGAAGCACGGGAAGTACCTGGGGGGGGTTTCTTTTTGATTACAAAACTCATTGTGAAGGTTAACGCTCGCATTCGAAGTGTCAGGGAGGAGGAGAAGGGCTGATAGTACTTGCTAAATCTCCTTGCCTGAAGCAGATGAGAATCAAATACTTAAAGCTTCATATCTGATGCACTGTGCTTACAAAATTCCTAAGCATTTGTCCGGGATTGATTTCTGTTAAGTAGTGCCAAAACACTGCTGAGGAGATAATATACACACAGCTAATAGGAATTTTTTCCTCTCTTTCCAGCAACATCATTCCTTCATTTGTGCTGATGGATATCCAGGCTTCTACAGTAGTGACATATGTCTACCAACTAATTGGAGACGATGTGAAAGTAGAAAGAATTGAGTACAAAAAGTCTTAAAAATGTATTTGCTTGTCTGGTACTTTGACCATCTCACTCTGAACTGCAAGTTACTCCGATACTTGATCGCTAGTTTACAGTACTACACTTCCTTGCTAACAGCTTAACAATGTAGCTTATGGGTAATAACTTTAAAACATTGTGTTTGCTTTTCTCTGTATGAGTTGATTTGTAAAATACTCCATTAAAATAACCGTTTAAATACCGTTCCTTAATGTTGTAATAAACGCTACTTCATAGAAAAACTAAGCGTTAGGAACTGCTGTTGGAAGAAACGCAAGGGTTGTAGCTGCTCGTGAAGTGCCCGATGCTCTGGGGGGTGACTGACTGCTGCAGGGGGCTCGAACAGAACGAGTGAGGGCTCTGGGGCCAGGTTACGTTCGCTTCAGAATCCAGCTGCTATTTGATGTTCTAGCGTAACGTTCCCCGTTAAGTGGATTGGTAATTTCTGAAGATGTGACAATTAACAGTAGTCGTTTCGCTGCAGAAAGGCTAACTGTGGTCGCTCTGTGATCGAAGCGGTTTCACATAGCAGTGTGCTGTGGAGAACGACGGTCGTGTGAGCCCTGTGCACAGCGAAGAGGGGCTCTCCCTGATCTGTGGCGCATGTCTGACACTACACGAACACGCGCCTCGCTCCATGCCGCAGGGCTTTAACTAACGTACTTCCCTACGGCGCTCGTACTGCTCCTGGAACTACGGTGGTGGTTCAAGGGAACTGGACCTTTTGGCTCTGGTGTTCTCGTGGCTGCGGGGAACTGGGTGTATTTTAACAGCTCTGGTTTCTTGCGAGTGCTGACTTCCCAATAAAACCAGCATTTTCTCTCTTGTCTCCTACCGAAGGACGTTTAGCATGGTGACCCTTTCCCTTGACCGCTGTCGGCCTTTGTATGGTGACTTTTCCCGGCGCGGTTTTTGTTGTGAAGGTTGGAGTTAAACTGAAGCTTTTCCATAGAACATGAGGGATCAGGAGCCCTGACTTGTGGCACAAGCTGACTAAATAACTTACTTCTATTCAGAATAAACCTGCTTTACCTTAGAGTAAGACCAAGCATTTCAGCCAGGTACCTCGGGAACCTTTGGCTAACCGCTCT